TCTATCGAACCTAACTCAACACCATTACACTGAGGGCTGGAGACAACACTTTAAAAAGGCCTGGAGATCTGCTTCCATCAGGATGAGGCCAAGAAAACCCCACGGCACCCAGGCCTCAGTGACAGACTGTCACGAGTCAGCATGGCGTCAAGGGCAAGAGGGTCCGGACCCTGCAAACTATGTTCCGTCATAAACAACACGTGCATGAATGGTGAGTGAGAAACCAATACGATTTGTAAACTTTTACTCAAATCACAGTAATATGAAACACCCCAGATTATAAACTTGTGTCACATGAAGTCTGTCTGGGCAACCTCCGAGGACGTAAAGGTAACATCAGCGGTCCCAGCCCCCGTAGAGCCTACTTTTTTAAAAATTCAAGGTATACACCACGGTTCCTAGAAACAAGCAGGCAGTCCTTTGCGACAAAATAGTATTACTTCTGCTGTATTAGTAGGTTAAAGATCTCTTAACAGGGCACTCTGGGGGCCAACTGAGAAGGGAACTGGGCTGCTAATCCCCAAGCCAACCCCCTCTGGTGATTTGAATCCACAGCCAGAGGGAGAAAGATGGGCAATCGCTTCACAAGCAATTTACAGCCTCACAAACCAACTGGAAGGTCAGTTCACCGAGTCAGTTCCGACAGAACAGCAATCAGTTCTGGGTGTATCTTAAGTGTGTTTCTCTCCGGGCATCATACATGAGAGACCAAGACATGCATTTGACAGTTGGCACTGGATACAAATCATCTCTCATTTATGTACATATCAGACTCTGATCTCAATCCGGGACTGATTATACGTCACACGATGTCGAAATAATGTCTGCTCCAGGAAGAACGCATCGTGAATGCTGGACGACGCGTGACTGTGTATCGTTTCTCTTCTTCCTCTCCCAGCGTCACCTGCCCCTCACAGATCAACGTTCTCACTCCCCACGAACAAGGTCACTCTTGCACAGCTCCCCCGCAGTTCCCGGCACGAGCCCTGACTTGGCGCTATCAGGCAATCTACAGTCTAGCCTCCAGTTTTTGCCAACTGCCCTCCTGGTTTCCTCTGGCGTCCAGAATCTACTCCGGGGTCAGACAGTGCCTTCAGGTACCGCATCGTTTTACGGCTTTGAATCAGCCCAGGTTCCTCTGCCTGCCTTTGTCTGGCAAGCCACGGAGAGATTTTTAAAGATTCCAGGCCAGTTGGTTTGTAAAATGTCTCTCCATCCGAATCCTTCCCATTTAAAATTCTGCACTGCCCTCCACCTTGGTCCTGTTTAAAATTCCAAGCTGTCCTGAGCAGGCTTTGGAGGCGGCTAAAGGACCCTCCGCCTCCCTCTCACCTCCCCCGCCACTCCAGCTCCTGCCCAAGCTCTCAGCAAAAAGGTTCTCTCTCCCCACTGACATCAAAGCCCACCACTCCCACCAAGCACGGTGCCTCTTCCTGATACCTAACCCTCAACCTGTAGCTTCCCTGCACGGCTCGTGGGTTACAGCCTCGTCCCCCCAGCACAGCGAGGATACTGTCTCCTCTCCACTGTCTCCTCTCCGTGGCTCACAGCTCAGGGTAACCGCTTGAGGCCCCGCTGTTCGTGCTGGGCTGCTTAACATCAAGGGTGGTGTTCAAGCCATCCTACAGGACCTTGGAAGAAAGACTTGGTGACGTACTGTTAGCATAAATGCCATCTTAAAACACCCCTACAATCCTGTGCTTTGAGATTTGCATCCTGTACCTCACAGGGGTCAAAATCAACTGGATAAGAGACTGGGGCTTTTCAGGGCAGGGGGGAGAGCTCTTGGTTCACTGCTGGGTTCCCAGGCGCTGAAGCGGTGCCCCACCCACCACGGGCACTCAGAACTTGCTTGCTGAGTAAATGAAGCAGGCAAAGAAAAGAAAAAAACTCTGGTTTCGCAGGGAAACTACCAAGAGGCTGGGGGGAGGGGCAGCGCCAAGAGGTCCTTCCAGATTCCAGAACCTTCCTAGGCATCCCTTGCAAGCCTCTAACCAAAAAAGGAAGAACCTTTCAACTCTCCCTTATCTCTGAGATTGCTCCATTCCACCTGCAAGTGCCTGGGATTAGTTTCTTTAAATCAATCCCAACAGGCTGACAGGCTGGATTCCAGGCGCACAGCCCTCTGCAAAGCCCTGGGCCCTCTCCAGGCGAAGTCCAAAGGGCAGGGCCCAGGCACAGAGCTTCCTGATGCCTCCATGGCCCAGAAGACACAGACTCTCCAGAAAACCCTGCTAATGGCTCTTCAACTGCAACCTTGCAGCTTCCAGCCCGGTGCCCAAGCCTGGGGAGGGGACCAGCGTGGCACAAGTTTACTCATCTCCTTCAGGTTCTGGGCAGTGAACATGTACTGCTTACCTTGTACACCAACAACTCAAGGTTAGGGAAAAGGTAAAACCCCCAGCCACACCGGATGTGGTCCAGTGGTTACAGCCAGGCTGCTAACTGAAAGGTCTGGCGAAGGAAGACACCAGTTGTTTCACCAGAGAAAGACCGGCAGCTAAATGTGTAAAGATAACAGCCGTGGAAATACTACGCGGGATTCTAGAAGAAACCGACTTGATGGCAACGGGAGTTTTGCAGAGAAAAAATAAAAAGGCCAAATCATCCCACCTATACACACACAGTGCCAGCTTCCCTCCAGGGACACCTCCAATCTCCAGGCCTGCCCACGGGTTCTCCATCAGAATCTCCTGCTAGGGGTGACCTCCACCAGCCACTGTTCTCCATCAGAATCTCCTGCTAGGGGTGACCTCCACCAGCCACTGGGCTCCAGAGACGCAGAGTATGTGGTCAGGCCCTTCCTGGCTGTGTGACCCCCAGCAAATCACTCAACCTCTCAGAGCTTCCTGGTATGCAAACAAACAAAGATGAGGCTGATAAGACCGCTGGTGAGACTTAAGGAGCTGACCGCCAAGAAGAAGGGGGAGGTGTGTGGGAGGGAAAATTTGGCACCTGCACCCTTCAAGGAAAAAAAGGAATGTGCCAGGTTGGGGAATTGGTAAACTGGGTCCCATCCCAAACAGGGGATGGCCGGCAGACTTGCCTCCGGGCTAAAGGGATTAGCATCAACCTCCGCTGGGCCACTGGCCTGGGGTCTGAGGTCTGGTCACCTGGGGTGGAGGGACTGGCCCGCCTGGCTGTCTTCCCACCCACCCTCCCTCCCGGCCAGTCTTCCCTCCAGCGGCGGAGGCCTCCCCTCGCGCTCTCCATGCTCTCCTCTGCTCGCGCCTGGCCATTTCCTCCATGACCTCAGCCCCCGAGCACGCAGCCCGGGCGCAGCCCAGCCGAGGGAGAGGAGCCTGGGCCAGGCTCTGTGGCAATCTCCCGCCGGCTCCCTTCTCCAGCCTCTGCCTCGCCCCAGCTACTCTGAGGCCTCTCCAAGCCTCGGCCTTTCCCTCGGTCTCCCAAATGGGGGCCAAGCCCTAGGCAAGAGACTAGCAACCAGGGCAATGAGCGCGGCCCACTGCTCACACACTAGGGACAGCTGCTGTTGTCGCTTCTAATGAGGCCAAACCCAGCGCGCACGCAGGGGTCCGCGGAAGGCGTGCGGGAAGCTCAGGGACCCATCGCAGGCTGAGAGGCTCCCCCATCCCAAAGCTAGAGAACCCAACAGCACGAAGAACCCAAAACAGCCAGGAGAATTCAATGGCGGAAAAAATGGCAAAAGCGCCTAGGCAGGGGGGGTTGTCCCTGAGACATCCAGCAGGACCATCCCAGGACCGCAGCGTCACTCGGGAGAAAATCCTAGCGCTGCCCAAGCGGAACGCGCCCCGCTTCCCAGGCACGCCAGCCCCGGGGCAGCGCCTGCCCCCGCCCCCACCGGGGATCTCCGCGCCCCTCCCCCGCCAGGCCTTCGGCACAAAGGCCCTTTGTCCCGCCGAGCCGGGGACTCGGGTTCCTGAAAAGTTCCAGGAGACAAATCAAAGGAACGTGGGGGCTCAAGAGCCAGCCCTGCGGTCAGGTGGGGCTGGCCGGTCGTTCAGGGTACGAGGGTCGCAACAGCCGTGGGGAGCATCAGAAGCCCCCCAGGATGTTGCCGGGGTCCTAAACCGCCATTTGGATAAGAGCAGCAGGCTTTTTTTTAAAGTTGATGCGTGGGACGACAGACACCGAAGCTGAGGAAGGCGCAGGCTGCAGTGATCGGGCCTCGGCAAGGGGCAGCGGGGCCGGCCTGGGGCTGCCCGATCGCTTCCCGGGCCAGCCAGGGCTCTACGTGTCAAGGATCGGCCCCCTCTCCTCGCACATTCCCAGGCTTCAGGTCCCCCGCGCCGGAGCCCCTTCCCCGGGAAATGGCGGAGACGCCGGGCCTGGCCTGCGCATTCCTCCCATGCTTCCCGCTCCTCCCTGACCACTCTCCGCTGCCCGACAGGGTGCCCTCGGTGTCAGGGTACCCGTGGCCCTGCACGCCCGCTCTCCCACTGGAGCCAGGCGTTCCTGGAGTTCCTGGAGCCAGAATCGCCGCTCTCTGGCCTGAAGACAGGCTTCCCGGACCATCCCCCACGCCTCGCGCAGAAGGATAGGGTCCCTGGGCTGAGGTCTGCAGCCGGAGACCCTGAACAATACCCGGCAAGGTGCCCAAAGAGGAGCTGGGAAGGGACCTCTGGGTCCCATGCGCCCGCGAGGGGTTTGCAGAAAAAAGAGTGGAGCTCGGGGAGTGCGTCTCTCGGGCTGTGAAGCTGGTTTGCCCTTTTCTAGCCCAGATGTCTGAGAAGCCGGCTTGGTCTCACACCAGGAGGAAGGTGCAGAGTGTTAGGGACAGACCCTGGTGGCTGGCTGGCTGTCAGAGGACGGGTGTGCCCGGGGTAAAAGCCACTGAGGCAGTCGCATACCCCTCCGTCTGGGCCCTGGGGTCTATGCGCCCCTGGAGTTTGGCTTGCCTGGACCCCAAAGAGGTGCAGACGATCGCCTGCAATGGCCGAGTGGTTTCCCCACGGCTCCCTCCCTCTCCAGCCGGTTCCCAGCCCGGGCTCCCAGAGGGCGGCCGGTGTGGCACTTACCCGGGTGAGGGTGGAGGTTGAGGCCAGCCATGTACTTCCCGGGCGGCAGCGGGCCGGGCAGGCCGGTGGCCGGCAGCCGTCCGGCCGCGCCCACGCGGTGGCTGTCCATGGCCAGGCCGGACAGCAGCGGCGGTGGGGGGCCGTGCACGGACCGCGGGGGCCCGAAGTCTCGGCCATCCATCCTCCGCGCCAGTGCCGCGGCCAGTCCCCCAGCCCGGCCCGCGGGCCGCGTTCAGGGAGACCTAAACGCTAGGCCTCGGCGGAGTCCCAGAGTCCTCGGGCGGAGGGGGCTCCGCGGCGGGCATGGCGGCGGCCGGCGGCGGGCGCGCTCGGCAGTGACGGCCTGGCGTACCGGAGCGTGCAGGCAATGGACGGTGGGGTCCCTCCGGGCGGCCGAGCGAAGCTGGGCGATGCGGCGCAAGCGACAGCGTCTTGGTGGGGAGAGGAGGCAGCCGCAGGATCCACAGAGAGGAAAAAAGAAAAAAGGGAGATGAAAAAAAAAACCACCCAAGTTTCAGAAAGTAGCCTCCACGGTCGGAGTCAGGGGTGCCGTTCCGGCGGCCATAAACGCCATCAGGAGAAACCCCGGGGTGATGAAAGTGAAAATTCTTCTCCTTCCTCCAGAGGCTTCGGGTTCCCGGGGAGCCGGCTCACGGAAGCGGCGGCCTCGGCCCGGGTCCTCCCCAAACCAGAAGGCCCCTCGGCCTCGCCCGGGACGCACAAACCTTCCCTCCAAACAAGCGATTCCCAATTCCCCGGTGTCACCCGGTTTGAAAACACTGAAAGCTTTACAAGTGCGACTCGATAGTGACCCAAACACTGGGTCACTATCTCATCCAGGAAGTTTAATGTTTAACCTGCTCCGCGCTCGTCTCCCTGCCCCGACTCGCAGGCAGTTCTCCTTGGCCGCTGCGAGCGGCCGAGGGGCCTGTAGAGTGGCTTTGGAGAAGGGAGGGTGCAGAGCGGGTTTATTATTTTTAAAGTGGCTCTTAGCCTCACTCCCCACCCTACCCCCAGGCCCGAGGACTCGAAACGTGGCACTCGAACCAGAAGGCTGAACGAAGCAGCTTTGCTTTCATTTTCCAGCCCTGGCGTGGGGATCCTGCGGGCCGAGGGCGGCCTGGAGCGGGGACGGGCGACATCCGAGGGAAGGAGGGGGCTCAAGGGTCTTCCTCCTACCCACCCCACCCCACTCCTTAAAAATAATCCACAAGCAACACCTTCCCAGTACGGGCTGGCAGAGGCGCGCCACCCCGGGCGCTGGATAAATTCCCCCTGTAGTTCTAATTTAAAGCTGTTTGTTTAAAAGATTTGTCCTTCACCGACTGGGGGCCGGGGGCTCCAGGAGCCAAGCCTCCCGTTGCTCTAGTCTGCAAAGGGGGGGACGCGGAGGAACGCCATGAGATCCGGGGAGACCCGAAAGCTGCTAGTACCTCGGATCGTGCCAAATGCATCGACTTGGGCTCGCCTGGGCCGCCGCCGCCCCCTGGGTGCCCGCCCTGCGTGCGCCCCATACGCATGGCCTCCCGGACTGCAGACCCCGCGGGTGCAAACCCCCCCCGTCAGCCGCCGCCCCCCTTCCCCAGACTCCCGCCCCAACTTCGCTAAGGGTGCTTATTTTAACCTGGTTTTGGTTACAAACACCCCCCTCCCTCCTTCGCTCCCGTCCAGCAGGCTCCGGTTACCAGGTCCGCGTTTAGTTTGGAAAAATCTAAGATCGCCACATCCGAGAACACAAGGCTTAGAGAGGCGAGAAGCTACGCGCGATTTTTTTCAAAAATGTCCTTTCGAGCTAATTTTTTAAAAAAGCCAAGGCCTCTGAGCTTGACCGGCACCCTAGTTGGGAGAAGTCGAGGCGCAGCCCCCTAACCCATCCTCGCTCAGGCAGAAGCGCTGCTTCAGCCATCTAGGGGCTCCGCACCAATCTCCCTACTTTTCTTCCCCCTTAAATGCAGTTAAAATGGCTGAATTCCGGCTTTTAATTAAAACCGCCTGAAAGTATATGCGGGGGGAGCCCAGCGCCACAGGACCCGGCCTCCCGAACAGCACGGGGCTAAGGGCTCGGTGGGAGCAGGGAGCACAGCGGCTCGCCCCGACCCTTCCTAGGGGCGCCAGCCCTCGACTTGGCTCTCGGGGTCTCCAGCGCACCCCGAAAGCGTGGCAGGATCGGGGAGAACGAGCTGGAGAAGTTTGGAGAGGAAGGCGGAGGACGGCGCACGGCGTACCTGGCGCGGCGGGGCTCCCGGCCCCGGGCTCCGGCTCCCACGGCGGCTCCGGCGGCCCTGGCTCCCGGC